ATTTACACTGTTGTCTCTTTAGTCAGCTTTTTTTCAATTTTATAATAAATTTCGATAGTTTTTACGAATTTAATAAGTCGTGAACTCGTGTCTGTGTCCTGTCTCAATATTTGTTCTGGGTCTGAGGAGAATCTGTAGGATTCGTGAGCCATACACTACGTTAGTATGTGGTGCACTGTTAGAATACAACCGCAGCAGGGACATGGCGGTTCTTCCTTCTTCATCAGATATCCATTGGTAAGAAGACAATGGCCAATCCTGAGGAGGCTAAGAACTACCTCTTCTCTTCGTGATAGCTCTAGACTTGTTCTTGGATGTTTAAAATATTGTTCGGTTTTTCTTAATTTATTTCTTCTGATGCCAAACCATTGATGTTGTCACTCCAGCCATCCTTTTTCATTGGTCGAAGATCTTAGATCTTTGCGATCACTTATTGAAAATACTTGATCATTTTTTATCGCCCGTTTCGCCTGTGTATCTGCATTTTCATTTCCAGGAATTCCGCTGTGACCAGGCATCCATAAAAAACATTACTCTACAACCTGCGCATTTCAATGTTTTTAATTGTATTTTTATTTAACTGTAATTAAAGGGTGTGTGGTAAAGGGGTCTAGTAGAGATTGTAGTACAATAAGAGTTGCAGCAAAATTAAGCAGGTGTTATTGCCAGATAGAACAGCAGTGCCTAACCCTTCATTAGTTTTCGAACCATCTCTGTAGATAAAGATCCAATCGCGGTGAGTGGCTTTAAAATTTGGAATTTTCGTGCTATTTCTATTGGAGGTAGGTGATGGCTTATGTAGCAGCCATGGTTCTACTGCTAAAAGAATCTGGTTGAACACATTTGGGAAATATTAATATTAAATATTAAAAGATTGTTAAGAGGGTGCTTTGAATTGGGTATAACTTTGGTGTAGTATTTGAATCATTCTTTTAATCGACAAAGATAGTTCAGTTGCTTCTACTAGAAAGCTGGTGGATGGACTGGGATTTTAACTTTTATATGTATGAAATTATGAAAGATGCGAAACGATATTTTCGTCCCTTCAAAATTTGTATTGCCTATTACTTTCAGAAACTTGCTAAGACTCTGATAAGAGAAGCAGAGCTAATAAGCCTCAAGTAAATGAAGACAAAACAAAATATATGATAATAAGCCTGATATTCTACCTTAATACAAGGATCTGCTTGATAGAACAAATTCAAATAACTCGACTCCACAATAAACTCAATGAATCAATTGAGTTTTTGTCTTTCTTTCAAAAGCATTGAAATTATGACTCTCCCCTTTCCCCTCCCTCCAAAAAAAACACTCTTAAGTTAAGGTTGTATAATACTATGAAGCCACTTTTGATATACAAGTTCAAGACTTGGACACTAACCTGTGCTCTATAATAAATTATTAAAAGATTTGAGAGAAAAATACTCCACAAGATTATTGGAGCTCTCTGTGATTGATTTCATCAGCAAAAATGTAATAGTTCTGAATGCAGATAATTAAAAAGAAATGGTCCAAGATAAGAAGATATGAATCAAAAACAGATAAGAAATATGCAAAAAATGGCGTTTTTAGGTAGTGCTTTACATACTATGGTTATAGTACAGAAAAACAAAAATAGTTGGAAACCCAAATACTGTTTACTGTAATGAGAAAATTATAAAGGATACAGAATTATGTATAACCGAGCAGATATTTTGGTTAGAAGTAAAAGAGATAAAATGACCACAATCAAATACATGATCACTCCAAGTGATTCCAATTTATTAACCACGACGGATAAAAATGTAAGAACGAGATAGCTATTAAAGCTAATAATGCGTTATCATTAATGGAAAGTAATAGTTACACTTATAATAATTTTTTTAAAAACTTATTTATTGAAAAATATTACAATCAGTCTCTAGGACATCTATAATAGAGTTCACAGATCACATTCACACTCTATGTACAATAAATAAAATAAATTATACAGAAAAATAATATATATATACGATAAATAAGAATAAAATAACCTAAAAATAAATAAATAAAAAGAACACATACACACCTATATAAAAAAGCACAAGAAAAGAAGAGATCTTGGAAGAGAGCTTGAAAGTGACTTAAAAGACAGTCCTCTTTGACAGGATGGAAAATAAATAAATGAATAAATAATAAAGGCTTAGCGAAGCCAAAGGTTCGATGGCGATACCATGAATCACTGTCTACTTGCTTCAATCCACCGACCGCCGTCTAAACCCAACCACGCCACGTCATCCCTAATGTAGTTATTTTATGTGAAAGCTATTATACCCGATCGTCACGTTGCGGTGAGTAGTGAAAACAAATCAGATGAGATCTAAAAGACAAAATTTAAACCGCACCAGCTATGAGACACTCTCAGCATATTCCACCGCGGAAATTTCCAGAGGCAACAACTACAGCAGACTGGAGGACTCTCTCAGTTAAGTAAGATGTCTATGCCAGCATAAAAGGGTGAGTTTATTTTACACAATTCATATAAACTAATATTTAAATCAAAATACTGTTCACTGCCAAAATAAGTCGAATGTTGCCAATTTTAAACTCATTAGACTTATTTGCCTATACTTTAATTAAATTTAGAAAGTTGCCTAAACAGCAGTCTTCTCACCTTCGCTATGGTCTACCACCGGACGCTTATCAGTACTTAGTCTTTCCATTCTTTCATTAAATTCTTTCCATGATGAATCATTTAAAAATGACTAGAATTTTTAGCCTTTAAATTAGCTTTAATTTCCTCTTCAATTGTTTTTTTTTTATTATCTTCAACTCTTAATACCTAAATTTCTGAAATTTATTCTTTTTAAATTACTCCAATTAGGCAGCGCGCTCTTGTGTTGTTTCATGTAACACCTCGTTATTTCTTCCTATGTCCATAAAGAGAACTTCCAACACGTTTTCGGATACAACATCTCAAGTGGGACAGATTTGACTAAACATTCAATAAAAAATATAAATCAGTAAAAAACAAATCAAGAGACACAACATTAAGTTATAATTGGAAAAATTCCAAACCCCGCATCCTCATCTATTCAAAATGGAGGCAAAGAAAAGAAACCTGTTAACGTTTTAGTAATTCAGACATCATCAGCACAGAAAAAAAAAATTAACGTATGCGTTTGGATGTCGTTTTTTTTTTTTTCTTTTCTGATGATGCCTGAATTGGCTAAACATTGATAGGTTTGATCTCTTTGCCTGCATTTTAAAGGCATAAGGCTGTATGGTTCGGGATATTCCCAAATTATAAGCTAACGTTCTATAAATATAAAAGACTAAGAGGTTACGCTAGTTGTTAAAAGGTAAGTTTATAGGATTTTTTTTTTTTACTTTCTTACCCATACTAGGTAAGGAAAGTATTGCAATCGAGTCAAATTTCTGATATGCGGTTTTCGATGGATTTATACGTTTCAGAGTCCCTTGTATCCGAAAAACACATTTCTAGCCATTGGTCTATCTGTCTGTCTATCTGTGCCAAGATTTTCTCAGGAACTACTGAAGCGACTTTTTTTTTTATATTTTATTTTATAGAGTTTTGACTTGCTTCTTTTCTCGTACGGTTTGAAAGGTAATAGAATTCTCTACAATGCCATATAAAAATCTTTCATTTTGGACAGCTATTAACGAAGTTACAGCTATTCAATTTCCAATGTAAGGTAACGATTTCATATCCTGGTGTCAGAAAGGGGTGAATGAGAGAATAAAGATGACTAAGTGAAAGTAAGGAAATCTGTTGCCCGCATCACACAATCTTCACCATTTCCTCTACGTTTAATAAAAATTATTGTTTGACAATACAAAGCTGTGGCAAAAACTTTTTGGTCAGTATTGAAATTTTTTCACTGATCTACTTTAAGCCGGTTAACATTGCTTTAGTTTATCAAATAAATCGTACTCAAATCTTTTTTTTTTTTTTTATCAATTTTCAGCAAAATAAATCTAGTTCAATTCTTTTTTGTTTTTTCATGAACATATGTAAAGATATAAAAACTTTTCTGAAATAGGTAGGAAAGTCGTGTGAGTGGACACACCAGATATTTTTATTTATAAGTAACACATATTTCTGACATACAACAAATTCGCTATCAACAACTGTATTCAGAAAATATAATATCAAGGAGTAATGAATTCAAATTGATAATAATTGTGCAATACAATTGATTAGTCGTAGGTATCTGTGTACCCTAACGAGTCGACTGGATAGACTTGATGTGGTCCCTTAAGCCTATATCCAAGCCGTTTCTTCTGACCTCGATCTAGCAGATCTACCAGGCAATCGAGGTATCGATTCTTGGAGCAGATAATCTCCTCTAGGACTCCGACGACCATTCCAGCTGACCTATATATTTATGCTTCTTTTGATTTCTAGCAAGCGAGGAAAGCCTCGGTTGAAGATAGTACACATCTTTGGCGAGTTATATAAATATTTGAAAATGCAATGCAATATTGAAATGTACATGGTTAGTAAGTGATCATAGTACTTACTACTATCATTGACTCTCAGAAATGTTGCATATTGATGAAAGAGTAAAGACAACAGTAAAAGTACCACTGATAGTTTGCATAACGATCAAGCAGAAAATAATAGAAATGTTATTATAAGTATATTAATCATAGAATTGAAAATTAAAAAAATTTAGACCTTTATATTTCATTCCTTTAGTTTACAGAACGGTTTCAGTAACCGAACCCGTAGTAATACGAACATGAAAGGAAAAAAAATGAAAGTTGACTGAAGAAAGACGGAATGGAAATTGCTCCGTTATAGATATTGTTAAAAGAAAATACTGATTTATACTGATTTAAATAGAAAAACAATTTTTTTTCAAATATCTTTATTAGAAAATAATATGTATATCTATAGAGAGTAATACCAAAAAATAAATTACTCAAAATCTTTTCCTTATGCCTTGACAGAGCCATTTAATCTCCGTGGCCAGTCATTAATAGCAACACGTAGTAGCTCTTTTTGAGAAAAGAGCTCAACTGCTCGGACCAGAGATTGCTTGAGGCTTTCCAAATTGGGGTGTGCTCTGTGGCATGCCATCCTCTCCAGTTCGCACCAAAGCCGATAATCTGGTGGATTGAGACCAGGGCTTCCTGAGGGCCAATCCGAGGCAAAGATGAACTTTGGAATGTTCCTTCCCGCCACTGCTGAGTTGACCTGGCCTTATGAGCTGAAGCGGAGAATCCTGCTGGAAAATCCAATGACTTCCAGTAAACAGAGTATCATTTAGAAGCTTGATAACAGATTTCAAAATATCGCCTAATAGTTTTTAGCGGCTGTTTTACCTCCTTTTTTTAAGAAAATGGAGCTTTGTAGTGCCATCAAAGCAAAATCATCACAAAACCATCACTGAGGTAGGGTGAAGACCCTTCCAAAGACTTCCAGGAATTTTTTAGAGCTGTGTGTATACATACTAACTTTTTAGGCGATTAAATATTTCTTGAATTGTAAAAATTTTTTAATCACTAACAATTTTTCGATAAAGACCATTGATGTAGCGGCCAAGGTGCACTTTGCATCTATCCACTCTAATTTTTTTAGGGAAGTGGTTAGCCTTTGTCCCGTCATTCTTAGAAATGCACCCATCCTAAGGTCACTTTTTATCAGGCGAGACATTGATCTGACAGAGTTTCCCATTCTCTGAGATATGATTTGTTATTTTCGAATGAGATTCCTTCTGATTCGAGCAGCCACTGCTCTCACTGCATTTGCCGTTCTCACCGTGCGGGGACGGCCCGGTCGAGGTCTGCCACATACAGATACGGCTCATTATATCTATTTATGGTGCGGTACACTAACATACAGCTGATATCGAAAGGTTTCAAAGTGTAAAAAATGACCAGCATTTTCCTACTTTGTGTAAGGCGATCACAGCTATTCGGTTTTCTTTATCACTCCACTTCATGTTAACTGAGCGAAAGAAAAATTCAAACTAGTTGGGATTATTATCCCGGCATGTAGAGAAAATAACCTGATAGAGCTAAGGCTGAGCATTATCTATTATACCCAAACCAAAGTTGTAGGATGTAAACAAAGTTCAACTTTTGTAACAGTATTTATGACAGAGCTAGGTATAATACTGGAATTACTTTGTTTGGTAGTGTCGTAATCGTTTTGTGGTTTCTCTAAATGGAAACATTAACACAAGGTGATCATACGGAAGTTGGCGAATATCGTTACATGTTGTTTTTGCAGCAGAAGTTACGGATGTGTCCAATTCCCGGAAATATATTAACTGAAAAGACAAAGTTTTTCTTTAAAATATTTTATTGAAAAGGATGACAAAGCAGACCTATTAAAGTCCAGTAGGCAGTAAAGATTTACTTTGTAATTTAAGAAGCAGTATTTTAATTTTTATTTCCCTGGAAAATATCTTTACACCCATTTTATTTTTCACTATCGATAAGCCATAGAGGAGCAATAAAAAGACGTTTAATATCGTACTTGCTTGGAGTAATTCTAAACCACTTACGGGAGGGGGAAGGATATATATTTTTTTCCCTGGGTCGATATTGGTTTATGTGAGTGATCTAAGCTATATACTTAATTGATCACAAAATATATTCTCTCTTTGAATAGTAGATCATTTATACAAATGTGTGCAGGTGTGAAAAAAATATAAAATTGATATTTAAAAGCATTATTATGTCTCCATTTCTTTTTCCTGAAAATAGCTACCGTTTTTAAAATAAAGAAAAAAATATTCTCCAAATTTAAATCCTGGATTCCCTACTGATACTTTAATACCAATATACTGTAGACTGAGTGTAGAAGCAGAAGAAAATATTTAAAAGGTTGATGATAGCCATCAAGATCTACAAAAAAGTAATATAAACAATTGCCCAATTTTCAGCAGAAGAGCAGAAAATTTAGGATTTGTATTTTCTTAAGCGAGTCACATTTTTGTTGAATAGGAAGAGAGAACATAAAGAATATTTTATTAATTTAATTAAATATTGCTCTATAGTAAACTAGAGAAAATTTTCATTCATAAAAATGGAGTTCATCATTGTTAAAACTAAATATATAGAAGACTATCGACTATCTAAATATAAAAATATTTTTGCGATTTTCTCGAACAGCTCTAACGATTTTGATTAAATTCATCATATCAGTGTAAAATTAAGCTGTTTTAAATAATCTGTAGTTTTTATTGTGATAAATGTTTTATAACATGGCATAAATGGCTAATTTTCAATATTAGCTTCCCTAAAGTACGTTAATTATTTTTATTTGAAACATCAATCTGTAATATAAAAGATAATTAAATATAAAATATGAAATAATTTGATAATTAACTAAAGGAGAAATAAGAGATGGTAACGGAAAATAATTGTAATTGAGGAACAAAAGAATACGAGCGCACTTCCATATGTAACATGAGCTTAATATAATAAGGACTCCGACAATATTATGTAAATATACATATGCGGTTTTCATATATGCTATTGTTAGTATCATTTAATATTTAACTTTATAGATTATAGAGATGTAAATATTAAAATTTGTTTATATAAGGGTACTTATAAAAATACCTACAATGAAATATAAATCAATATAGCGTTTATAATTTTTTACTTTCACTTCCCCTTTGTCTAAAAATACTTATTTCTGCTAAGAAGAGGATAGTAAGTGAAAGTTATGTGATGCGCGCACCGCGCCAGATTTTATTAATTAAGCTTCGTTTTAAAAAAAAAAATGTTATTTTTCTGTGACAAAACTACTTAGTTCGCGCCTCTTGTCCCGAAACTTAAAAATTAGAATCTATAAAACAATTATCTTACCTACAGTTCTTTATGGATGCGAAACTTGGCCGCTTACATTAAGGGATGAGCAGCGTCTTAAGGTTTTTGAAAATAAAGTATTGCGTAGAATATTCGGACCGAAGAAGGATGAGTTAACGAGAGAGTTCAGACGGTTACACAACGCCGAATTGCGTGAGCTGTATCCAGGTAATATAATTGAGGTAATTTCATCGCGGCGAATCAAATGGGCTTGTAAAGTTGTTGGGCTTAGTAACGAGAGAATTCCTAAAAGGTTAATATGTGCGGTGCCGAATGGTAAGCGTCCGAGGGGTAGACCGAAGCGAAGGTGGGAAGATTGCATTAAAACCGATTTGAAGAGACTGGATTTGGACGGCGAACGGTGGAGGGAGGTGCGTAGTGGGCGATTGGTGGTGTCGGCATCGAACCTTCGGGTTCGCTAAGCCTTTTATTATTATTATTATTCAAGCTTCGTTTTAAGATTTTCCCTAAAATCGCGAGAGAGCTTAACAATGAGTTTATTCAATTATGTATGTTTTTATAACCACACGCTTCAATCATTTCTCAAGAAATAAATATGAAATAATATTTTTTTACTTTTATTTTCAACAAGAAATTAATTAATTCTTCCTCGGATTTACCAATTAATAAAGCATGAGCTGACTTAAGATCTTTTAGGAAAAACCCCTACTAAGCTACTAATACTTCCCACTAAAGACAGCACATATCGATAAAGACAAACGTATCGATATATCGAAGAGAACAATAGCCACCCACTGACCAGCGATGACAAAAGGGGGGCGGGTGGGAGTGCATGCTGTGGTCAGCAGTTCCAGGTTCTATCTACTATTTATTTATTTCCTAATGCCCCCCCCCTGTCGCCCCCTGCCTATCTTCCAGTTGTGTTTCTATTGTTTCTCTATTTCAGTCTCTATTTGCTCTTCTGTCTACTGACAATAGTCCTGGTGTATATCCATGCTCCCTGCCTCTATATATACAAACGGTTATGGGATTTCAAATAGCAGTTTAGTATAGAGCTCCTTTCAGCATCTTTGTGTTTTATATATTATTTAATAATCTGTACTTGTTAAAATATACATTGACGAAAATCTGTAAAAATGATTATATTAAATAAACATCTAAAATCCAAAGCATTATAAAAAAATAAATAAAAAAAAAATAATTGCTTAGATTATTTTTGAAGTGAAAACTTCTTTACGTGGGTTTTCTACTTTTTTGTGGAGAATGAATTAGATTGATCCGTCATATTTTACTCCTCGGGTAAAGTCGGCTACAGTCGACTAATTGAAATGTTTTTTACATATGGTTTAAAATATCTAAGGAACTAAAAATATGGCCTGCATATTGCGTGGGAGGAAATCGTTCAGCATTTCTTCCTCTCTTTAATAGGCTAAAATTCAAAATTGTATCTTAATGCGACGAGGTTAAACCAAATGATAATGAAGTTGGTAGAATATATGGATTAAAATATTCCAGATACTAAAAATCAGACCTGTATACCGTAAGAGAGGGAAATGTTCAGCATTTTGTTTTCTTTATAATGAGCTACTATTCATAATTGTATCTTAACACAGCACCGTGTTCGAGAGTAGCAGAGTGAAAATTGTGTGGCCAAAACCAAATGATAATACATAGTACACATGCTAATATTATTACCACATTGAAATTTTATTTTAACAAAATTATATACAATGCATAAATAAGAAGAGAAATAATACAAACTATGTGGTCCGTGCGAATAATTCGCAGAAAATTTTGTTTAGTGAAGAAATAGCAAAACAACATGGATAAAACAAAAATTGTTAATATTTATTATGTAAGGAAGGAATTAATATTTTTTCCTTGGTCGATTAGAACAACCAAATGCCTTTAAGAAAGTTAATATAAAAGCCAGAAAAAAATATAGTAGATTATTCTACTTCTGAATGCAATTATAATTATTAAGTACACCAAAATTAATGGACTGTATCTTTGTTAATAATTGTCTGATTTTTACGAATTTTTTTTTGTTTTGTAGATAATTTAGTAATCTTTCTAATTATCATGGGTACAATACTTTAAAAACGGCATACTTTTTGAGTTATTCGCAAATAAAGTTTCTTTTCCTTCAAAACATTTTTCACAGAAATTTAGGGGGGATAGGACCATTTTTCGCATGTGAAGGAGAAGAATATCTTCAAAATGAGTTCTCAATCGATGGACTTGATGAAGAATTGACGAAGTTATGGCGTAATGACAAAAAAATAGGTTTTAGAAATGGTATATAGGATTATAATAACATCGGAAATTCTTAGGCATAGTGGAAAATGTATACTAATATTACATTATATAACCTTCCAATTGGAGATTTCCACATAAATATTATATCTGCCGTTGGATACATTATAACCTAGTTAATCTCACTAATTTAGATAAGTAAATAATTAAATCATGAAGCACATGTTCAGATTGGCCTTGCTTTGATGTATATATTTTATGAAATAGAATTTTGTTATTAACTTTACAAATTTCTTATCAAACGAAATTGAACTAATTAACCCTTGCTAAATAAATAAAATAGACAATATGTAAATATTGTTTGATCTGTTTTGATGTAGAAAATTTTTTTCCCAATATCAACCGGAAAGATGTAATTTAAAATAATTGAAAAATACTGGGATACAATAGAACCGCATACCCACATTAAAGGGTTTAATGGAAGATATGGATTAAAATATCTCATAAGGTAAAAATTGGACCAGCATTCTGTAAGCGATGGAAATTTTCAGCATTTGACCCTCTTTATAATGAGCTATTATTTATAATTTATATTTCATATTATTGATCTCGCCT